TATTATATATTGTATTATATTAGATTCGTATTGTAAAGTATTTAATCGTATTCATCGTATTATAGTATTATATCGTATTGTAATATTTACTGTATCACTCATGCTGGATGTTCATCATTTCGTTACATCACTAGGAGCACAGTGGAGCAGCTTAACGCGGAGAATGACAAGCTGAGACTCGACGTGCTGGAAGCGAACACGAGGGTGACGCTGTTAGCCGAGGAGGTGGACGACACCCACGCACTGCTGGAGCACAGCAACCAGAGCAAACTCGCGTACGTGCGACCTGGCATAACATCCGCGTGCATTCCCCCCTCTATGACAAACTTCCTCTCTATATTGTGCGTGGGAAGTAAAGGTGAAATGCGAGTCGTGACACGTTGCTATAAATGCAGATCCTTTATGACTCTAGCAATGATCGTCCTAAAAGTCGAACTGGAATACAGCACACAACATGCACGGTTCCATAGACTGGCCCTTTTTCAGATCTTTATGCAAATCTTGACACGCGTACAGTACTAACCTCTATGCACAGTTCCATCTAGATTCTTGTCTATAGTTGATTAAAATCCATAAAGAATTATCAGATGTGAGGATTTATTGTTTTATGAATTAGCAAGTCTCTATGCGACTGTCAGATGTATAGCAGCTTTTGTTGGTTTACAATCTAATTAAACTGTGCACATTTATCATATGTTAGTGGATTTATGGGTTTATGTATTAACAAATCCGCATGCATCTATCGAATCTCGTGCGGATTTGTTAGTCTTCATAGTTGAGGAGAGTGACGTTCTCCGGTTGTGTTTCAGCTCGTTGGAGAGGAGATACCAGCACAGGCTGAAGTCTGTGCAGTCGCAGCTGGTGTCGGAGCGAGACTGCCTGTCAACGGAGACGGACCAGTACCGGCAGCAGCTGCAGGAGGAGGTGGAGAGCAGCCGCGCAGAGGAGGGCAGGATACGGGAGAGGTTCTCCTCCCTGCAGAAGGTAGCTGCTCCCTCCGTCCCCGATTGCCCGTTCTGCGAGCATAGAGGGAGCCACAGACTCATGCACCGACCTTGGCCTTTTATGTCCATAACGTTCGTGAACGATGAGCGTCAACGTTGTCAGACAAGCTAAGGAACACTGCCCCTGTCAGAGATGTCGAACCACATGACATGGGTCATCCTTTGAAAATAATTCCTCGACAAGAGGACATAATTTCCTAGACAGATATTCTATCACTAGTAGAGCTAGCGACGCGCTATAGCGCTTAGTTGTATTTCAGTATTTCGTCAGATTAATGAGCTAATCCTAACAAGTCTGGGTTCTCGATTGTTGCCGTGGTAACGCCCGTCTCACTGTAGTCGTGGCGAAGGATCGATAACAATGCGCAGCCTCATGGTTGCCAAGGTGGCGGGTAAGATGTTGACACGGCGTCTGCGCTTGCTTGCAGGAGAACGCGCACCTCGTGGCAGACTGCGTGGACATGGGAGAGCAGCTGGAGGATGTGCGTAAGCAGAACCAGCAGCTGAGCAGAGAGCTCGTCAACATCGCGCGACTCAAGGAGAAAGTAAGTGTCGCGCGAAAAACCCGCCACTGCTGTTAGGCCACTGAGCCACTGCCAGAGAGAGAGAGAGAGAGAGAGAGAGATGAGGGAGGGAAGGAGGGAAGGAGCGAGAGGGAGAGAGAGAGAGAGAAAGACAGAGAGA